TAGTTGTTTTCTATACCCTATTATCTGCTTCTACAAGGTCTCAGACAATGCTGCACGGAGGCCTCCAGTATTTATTTCAACCGCTGCAGGATTTAGAGTGTGAAAAATGTTCAAGCTGGGTCACTCTAGTGCGCCCTTACACGGCTGTATAGGTGTGTGTTTTGCGTGGGTGTGTGTTTTTGGAGGAACCTGTTATCTGTAAGTCATGTTTGTTAGACATTTCGAGTCCACCCAGTCGATGCAGCTAGTTGCTAACGGTTGCCACGAGGCGTGTCTTCTTGGCTCAGAGAAAGGATGTGTTCCTGGATCTTCCCTTTCATTGGGGAAAAAAAAAGAAGAGCAGCACATGCCAAAACATGAACACACAGGCTTTAAATAGGCACCCACACAAACACAAACATCTTGAGTCAAATGTCGGCCAGGACACTTGACTCCAACAGCCAGTGGATGTGAGACATTTCTAGATTGGCGCTTTGGTGTGTGAGAGCGGTCCTGGCAGCCGGCGCTGGCAGAGGTAGAAAAAGGTTGAAACGAGGAAGGGGGGAAAAATGGCTCTCAGGAGGAATTTGAGGATTGCGTTTCGCCCGTCCCAATATCCCCTGTGCATGGAGGGGAGGATTAGCTTTTCATTTTTTTAGTATCTGTGGGGGATTAATTTACAGTGGCGGCCAGTAACTGAAGCCGTACTGTAACGCGTGTCTCTATACAAGCATGTCTGTGTGTGTGTGAAAGGAAACGCTCACTCGCAGCTTGTGTTTACTCGAGCGGGAGCAGTTGACCCCTCCCTCTCTCCAGTGAGGAAAGGGTTAAGCGTCAGGAATGATTGAGGTGTTGGTCTCATGCACGCTGCTCAGAGGACTGCAGCTGTAAATTCTCTCTGTCTCTTTCTTTATACTTTACATTTCCTTCACTCCTTTGCCCTCCGGCTGCTTATTTTTGTCCTCGCTCTGCTTTCTCTTCCTTCATGAAGCTGATTTCCATTTCTCTTATGGGACATGCTTTGGTTGGGTTTGTTTATCCTGCTATCTCCACCAGGAATTCAGATCATATGGAGATTAGGAGATGATCCAGTTAAATCAATTGGCATGATCACAATTTCACATAACTGTCTAACCTGTGAGAATGCAAAGCCCCTCTCTTCACCTTTCATCCTCTCTCTCTCTCTCTCCCTCACACCACACCTTTTGTTTCCCCCTCCTCTCTCTCTGTCGTCGTGCTGTTTTGCGGGTGGGTAGAGGTGTAGCAGGAGGTGTTTGAAGCCGCCTTAGTCAGAAGGAAATGAACCCAATAAATCAAGCTCTTGCCCCTGTCTCCTCGCTGCCTCCACGGCTCTCTGCAGCTCCGTGCTCTTCCACTGTTGTCCTGTAGAAAAACTCATTACACCATGAATCCTCAGAGGTTGTTTTGTTTGCGTTATTATTATTCTCATTAAAAGTAAAAATGAATTGATAAATGTCTGACAGGCATGGTGTGACCTTAAGCGCCTACCTCCGCGTGCTAATAAATACATTTTTCAAGGATTATTTATCTCACTCAGTCGCCAGGGATGTTCAAGACAAACTAAAAATGTTACAATGATCCGGACGGCTACTCTCTAGCTTCATGTTAATAAATAAAGTTAAAGGATGAAAGTTGTGTTACAGCGTGTCTAAAATGAGCTTGATTCTGTTGTTTCCTATTGAAGTGTCCGAACAGCCCTTGAGCGACGCAGCACATCACAACACACCGTTTTAAGACTGACGCCCCTTTTCTATTTTCCTCTCTGTCGCTCACATACTCAGACGAGGAACGAGAGAGGAGAACTCTGCACAGCACTGACACTTGCTTTTCTCACACAGCAGAGCTTGTTGTATATAGTGGAGATAACCGTGCATTAATAATATCCACATCACTGATTGAGATGTCAACACCAGAGAAAACGTAATTCTGCTCACCGCGAGCCGTTTATTGACGAGCATCTGAGTGTTGGTGATTTGCTTTTGTTTTTTTGTCAACAAAAAGCGCTTCAGTTTGTCCACCTTCAAAATAAGAGTCTCTGTCTCCCTGCATGTTAAATGTAGACTTACAGGAGACGCTGCTGCCGTCACATACATGACGCTCATTTATGCGAGGCAGGTTTGAAATGAGAGTTCCTGCTAACAGACATCAGCTTGTTAAGGCTTTGGCCACATTTGCAGAGCGTTAACGGAGCAGATGTGCCGCTGATTGTTTACTTTTAGCAGCTACACCTGAAGCTCACACCATGAAGTGTCCTGTCCTCACTCCTACTGCCCTCGCTCATTTAAAATGATGAACATGATGGGATGCTAAATTTATCTGGTAACATTTACTTTTCAAAAATTGCAAAATATTCCACAAAAAGGAAAATTGCAATACCATTTTTTTTCTAATATGGTTCATCCCTAAGTTTGAATAAATCTGTTTTTTGTTGTGCTGGTTAAACATTCATTTGACGCTTTTGGCCACACTATGAGGTTGACTTAAAAAGTCTGACCTGTGCGCTCCGGGACTTTGTTGTAAGCAGTGTTTTCTTTTTGTTTGTGCACAAGTCTTCTCAAATGTGGAGGTTCTTCTCCTGTCGTGATACTCCCTACGCTCGGTTACCTGCTACAATGTTTCTACGCTGACATCTCGTGTGGGAAACAAACCAAGCATAGGAGTTTAGTATTTTGGGCAAAGCGTCCCATCAGATCATAGAAACCTCTTTACTTTTTCACATGCCTGCTGGCAAACATCAGCCCAGATGTCATGGTGTTTGGGCTTGCTGCTCTAACATACAGATGTGGATGAAGTCAAGCAACAGATCTTCCATCCAGATCTTCCATATCAGCCTATTTCTTAAAGCTCCAATCAGTAAGATGTGTAGAGAATGAAATGATAAAGTTACCTTACTATATAATCTGATCATTAAGGAAACATGCTATGTTGAAGTGTTGGCTTCTCTGACAACAATGCAGCAGCCAGTATGTCCTCCTTCTAACTTTAGATTCTGCTCCTGAATGCTCTGGATTTGTTTGGACCAGAGAAGGTAGGAGGTTTTAAGACACACCCACACGGCCGTTTTGGACGCCCCTCTGTTTGTCAGATATGAGAGCAGTTATCAGGTCAACAGGTGTTGCAGTGATGGAAGCGGGTCAAGAGAAGTGATTCAGATAGAAGTGATTGTACCCGACCTAAAAAGCCTCTGCATGTTTCTAATAAGCTCCACGAGCAGAAACGTGCTCAAACTAGGATCAATATTGGAGATGCTTTTGAAAAATGGAGAGAGGTTAGAACACAGAAAGGTTTACAGACCCATGCAGAGCTGGATAAACACTGAAGCTTCAGAGTCCACCACATGGTGGCTCCAGAGAGGAGGGGGGGGGAGACAGCTCTCTACAATGTTTAGAATTTAGACTGCAGTACCTATTTTAAACACTTGGTGTCAGAGTTACATATTGCTTTTTTAAGTTCCCTTTTGCATGTCAAAGCATGATATGTTTGAGTTAATTTGCGTTACTTGACACAAGTCTTGCAACATGGCGCCAACCCTCCACATCACCTTCAATCCCTCTGCATGCAAACCGTCTTCACGCAGCTCAGTGAAAGACTTCTAAACATGACTATCTGCACTGAGACTGATATCAGCAGCTCGTTACTTTGCCTGAGTTTGCCTCGATTTGTCGGATTTGTTTTAGCTTTTAAAATATGATCCATGTCAGAGAATCTCAGTTGAAAAGGTCAAAAGGAGAATTTGAGTCGACTAAGCCTTGCATGCTGCCCAATAAACACAGACCTGCCATTCGATGCTACGAAATCATTTGTAGAGAGCTGACATTTATGTGAAAGTTTTAAATATATTTATGCTTCAGTTCTGACTCCAACACACATTTGACTTCAGTGTTTGACACCGATGCTCGGCAGTAAACACAAAGTGCTGCTGAAAATAACTTGGTGGTAAACTCTAAAGTAGCAGTAAGCCACCACTTCCCCTCAGGGCTTCCAGGCTCCAGAAACTTTCAAGGAGAGTCAACCCCCCGCTCGCTGCCCCCTCCCCCTTCTGTTTGTTCCTGTGTGAAGTGCACCTGCAGGGCTTTAGGGATGTGATTTTTCAGCTTCATTGGACACACTGTTTCTATTTGATGTGGAGCAACATGTGGAGTGTTTTCCCCGGACACAAACGTGGTTTTTGTTTTGGCTACGTTTGCAAATCAGATGATGTGTTTCCCTTGGGTCTGAGCACACACAGTATTTGTAGACTCCCTTAGATATTGCACATAACCCAAGTGCCAAGAAGAGACGACGCGTTGTATTAGAATTATTGTGGTTTTGCACCTGCAAAGTTGTTTTTTTGTGCAAAAAATGTTTTTTCACTCTGACTTTTTCCAGAGTATCTCCTGCCTGCCCATTTAGTCCAAGTGAGTTGATGGAGCAGGATATAGTCAGGAGAATTCACCTCAAGCGAGCGGGAGGGGGTGGTGACCTTTATATCCTGTGATCGGTGCACGACCATAGACTGTCTGCACACGATCACTATGATAGTCACCCACTGTGAGGTGCATGTGTGAACAACCAGATCAGGAGGATGTCAGGGTCAAGTCCTCCTGAAACGCTCTAGAGATTTCCAGATGTGCATATGTGAAAACGGCTGCAGCCTCTGATCAGGCGACAAAAGGAGTCAGCGGAGACCTCCGGCACAATATGGCAGCTTCTAACATGACCCGTCACATTAATAATGCAATCACAGTGGCTCTCAGTGGCTCCTCATTATCTTAAACTGTCTGTTCATGAATCCACCCGCTCTGTGGTGTCGTTGTACTTTTCTGTCCTTCGTTTTACACACACACACACACACACACAGAGCTCCTCTCATCCGCTGTGGCAGCACACACAAGGCCGCTCTGTTGTTGTGTTCATTTGTACAATTACGCTGTTAAGTTGACTGACAGTCTCAACTTTCTCCCCTCTCTCCTGTGCCCCCCTCCCCCCCTCCTTTCCCTTCTGCTCTGTCCGTCTGCCAGCCGGTTGCAGAGCCAATCCCCATCTGCAGCTTCTGTTTGGGCACCAAGGAGCAGAACCGCGATAAGAGGCCGGAGGAGCTCATCTCCTGTGCCGACTGTGGGAATAGCGGTGAGTACTTGCTTTGCTGAGCAGAGCTTTAACTTTTTCTGCTGCCAAAACAACCAACAAAGGAAGAAGAGCCAACCAGCTGTCTGCATGTCAGGTTTAAATAAAGAAGGTTTTATCAGTGACGTTCATATTTCAGTAACTCTGACTCCTTCCTCTTAGACCTACAGGTCAAACATCGGTCATGATCTGCTCTCAGCGGTCACACAAACACACTAACAATTCAACGACACTGCTGCCAGGTTAACTTCCCTAATCACAGACTTTGGATTTAAAATAAAGGCAATGAAACCTGGCGCCGTGTATTTCCTACCTCCTCTTTTTGCATTCTTCGCACGGGATGTAAATAAAAGTGACGTCGGTTCAGCACGTCGTCAGTGTGAAGGCCCTGACACACCAAGGAGATCCCTCTTTTCCAAATGTTTGATATTCCTCATAGTTTTGCCGCATACAGATCGTGTCTTGTACCCACATCCTCCTCTCTCTGTGTCTGATCGGGTTAAAACGATCTCAAATATATAACATGCAGTAAACAGTTACGGAGCAGTGTTGGTCATACAGTGGCTGTCAGCAGACTGTTGTCATAGAGACAAGATGGACGTGCTGCACTTTTCTTCTTAGCGCAAAAACGTTTCATGCAAACGCCTCCCGAGTGCACAGCCAGCACTTCTCTGCCCGGAACAAGCGTCAGGTGGACACGGGGACCTAAAATGAGAAACTAAGGAACATGTTTTATTTACTTCAGGAAATCTAGAAGTAGAAATCTCTCCGGGGTTGGGATGCTTAATCTTGAATAAAATAAGTGTAATAAATGGAAACAAATAAGTAAATGTTCCCAGATAAATCTCTTTCTCTCTACTGGAGCTGTGATATCTCTGATTGAAAGCAGGGGAGATTGTGTTCCTCCTCTTCCCTCTGTGGGGGGGTTCTGTCCCAGACATGGCGTTCTTGTTTGCTGCTCTTCAAACGGAGCAAAAAGCACCGCGCTGACAGATTGTCATTTATGTTTGAACGCTCTTTATGCAGCCAGTTTTGATTCAGAGAGGAGGAGGAGGTTTTTTTTCTCTTCCTCTTAAAATGATGCAAATGGGTCACAGCTGTCAGTCAGAGGCGACTAAAAGTCTCTGTGTGTCGTCTGCTCACTTGTTTGTCTCTGTCTGTGTGTGTGTCTACCTGCAGGCCACCCGTCCTGTCTCAAGTTCTCCCCGGAGCTCACAGCAAGAGTCAAAGCTCTGTGGTGGCAGTGCATCGAATGCAAGACTTGCAGCAGCTGTCAGGATCAAGGGAAGAACGCGGTGAGTGGATGAAGTGAAGAACGGCAGGCCGGCAGCATAAGGGTGTCTTTGAACATCTCTCTTCTCTGCTCTGGATCCAGATAGAGACGCAGATGAACAACATGTCGGCGGTCCTGCCTGGGATTGAGCTAATTTTAGTCTGCCTCAGCATGATGTCATTATTTCCTGCTTCCTGAGGAGGGAGGAATCATTGTTATTCTAATGTTTGTAGGGGCATTTATCTGCATGAAAATCATCTAGAAGGAGGGTATAAAAACACAAATACTGCTGGATGCTTCAAAGGATGCTTCACATTTGAGAGAGAGAGTCAAATATATGTAAAGTCAGGGTTGTTAATTTTCACCAGATCCACTTTTTTTCTTTCTTTTTTTAAAGATTTATTTTTGGGCTTTTCGTGCCTTTAATGCAGAGAGAGGACAGTGGATAGAGTCGGAAACCAGGGAGAGAGAGCGGGGAATGACATGCGGAAAGGGGCCACGGGTGGAAGCGAACCCGGGCCTACCGCTCGAGACGAGAGTCTCAATACATGGGACGCGCGCCCTAACCATTGCACCACCAGCGCGCCAATTGAAATTGTCTTTAGGTCCTGACAGAAATTAATAACTCAGGTTCTTTGAAAAAGGAACAAAGAAAATCCGTCAACTGTATCAGTTGTAATCCTGTAAAAACTTCGATCAATGTCTGCCACGAGGTACCAATCTGATGAACCAATCAGACGCCTCCCTGTCTCCCTGCTCGTTCTCTACCTCTTGTGTGCTCTAGCTCACACTCAAAGAGCGTCACTGATGACTTCAGGAGTTTATACTGTGAGTTTACTTACTGCTGAATGAGACATGAGACGACGTAGTTTCTACGCAATGTAAGATATGAGCTGAGGTCTACTTCTGGAGAAACGGCGCTTGTTCATGGAAGAGAGGGGGCGTGGCTTTTGAGGGAGCACAGAGGGGAGGGGGTGCAGACGTAGCACTGAAGGAATCCCACTTTCAAAATCATGCCAGTTTTCATAAATTACCAACCCTGACTTTAAGAGCATGCATGTGAGGAAAGATCAGCAGATTTTGAGCTTTGATCAGTCCTCAAACACGGCGCACCACAACCCCCCCACCCAGCTGTGATGTGTTCATGTATGTTCACCAAGTATTAAACCTCACCATCGTAATGGATCTCTGGAACTTGGCACACTTGAAACACATTTAAAGGCTTTGATAATCATCAAGACTTTATGTTTGTTCAGGACAACATGTTGTTCTGTGACTCTTGCGACCGGGGTTTCCACATGGAGTGCTGCGATCCTCCCCTCACACGGATGCCAAAAGGTAAGTTTAACCGCTCACCCCTCCTTAACTTGAATCTGTTCTACCTGTCTGCACAGAGCTGTTGTCTCCAGCTCTGATGAAGCTCCTAACGCTTCAGCGTTAAGTGCTAATGTATGCGATACCTCCCACAGCGTGTTGGTATCTGCACTGTCTCGTCTAATCCACTTCAGTCTATGTGAGCCTGTGCCTTTTTTCTTCCCCTTCCTGCAGGCATGTGGATTTGTCAAATCTGCCAACCCAGGAAAAAGGGAAAGAAGCTTCTACACGAGAAGGCAGCACAAATCAAACGGCGCTACAACGCACCGCTGGGGCGGCCCAAGAACAGGTAAAGAAATGCCTTCAGCTAGTCGTGTGTCTGTTTTTAACAGAGTGCAGACGAACAGGCTGCTGTACCGCCAACTCCCGACTCCAACATGTGCTAAAAGATATTTAGTTTAAACATAGAGGAGGGTGCAGCTGTCATGCCACAGGTACAAGCTTGGTAGGCTATGAGATTCTGAATCCACTTTTCTTCTCCTCTGCAGGCCAGGGCGGCCCTTCAAGAAGCTGGGCGGTCGAGGTCGGCGGAAGCGCTCGGCCTCGGCCAACTCCTCCTCCAGCTCCTCCTGCGAGGGTTACCCGGGCGATGACAGGCTTCTGTTTTCGCTCCGGGACGACGATGACCTCTCGCAGAGCGGCCTGCGCTTCAACAACAAAACCAAGGGCCTCATCGACGCGCTCACAAAGTTCTTCACGCCGTCGCCCGAGGGCCGCAAGGCACGTCAGGAGGTGGTGGACTACTCCCAGCAGTGTCGCATCCGGAAGAAATCCAGTCGTAAAGGAGAAGGCGACGACAGAGGGGGTAAAATCCTGCAAGATACTAAATCCACTCTGATCCTGTATTTGATCATGTCTATAAACCCCTCTATTTCAGCCCTGCTCAGAACAGGCTGTTTCTGTGTCTGTACCTTTAAATATGTAAATGAGCTGTGTCTGACCACGCCCCCTCTCTGGAAGGGCTTGGGTGTCTCGGTCTTTCTCGCTCCATGTCCTATTGTTTACTGTGAGAAGGCAGACTCAGAGGGCAGAACAAACACCTAGCTGTGGGAGTGTCACCCACCTGGGGGAGGGGCTACTGCCCTTTGTGATGTCATGAAGGGAAAATCTCCAAACGGCCTATTTGAGCACACATTTTCTGAAAAGTGGAGCAGGTAAAAGACGGAGAGGATGGACTTTTCTCATCATTGGTGGGTTTGTAGACGGACTAGAGACACATATTAGAGATAGAGAAACATGGGGAAGTGGATTTTACAGAATATGTGACTTTTAAAATCAGAAATAACTTGAGCAAAGAATAGATACTCACCTGTGTAAAATGAAAGCTAATATGCAAAACGTTGCAGCACCATCATTTCTAACACTTTGAGTGAAATGTAGGTCATGCTTGTTTTCACAGTATACAACAAATGCAAATCAAAGAATCACAAGTAACGAATCTAGCTGACATTAAAAACATTTACTGTACAATCTGGACTATAAGTCGGACCGATATATAAAACGCAGTCAGTTTCTGAAAGAGAAACAAGTATTAACTCTCTTGCTGTGTGATGATTTCTATTGTGTTCAGCAATGTCCAGTTTCTGTGCAGCTGTGTTGCTCTTTTAGTGTCATCTGTTTTCACTTCTAGCTACAGTACAGTAGTTAAGCTCTCAGCCTGCAGGGAAAGTTGTGAAGTAGCCTACAGACACACATCCAGTCTCTGCTGGTCACTCGAAATCTACGTTTACTTTAAGTGAATGATTATGACCTCGTCAGGGAGAAAAGATGGTCTGAACTGCGTCGCTTTGTTTCCCAGCACAGCGTGCAATAAACAATGAATGGAGGTGAATTTTCTTGTCAGGTTGCTAGCAGTGTGTGATGGTTGTGACTGCATTTGTGGCAATGACAGCATGTTATTCAGCCTTTCATACTAATGTCATGGTCACATCGGTGTATAAGATGCAGCACACCTTTAGAAGGTTTTAGAAGTGGGTTTATGCACAGGATTTTATCGTTAATGATACAAACTGAAACAGCAACCTTTCAAGAAGCATGACATGTAACATGTTAAAAACCCTCCACAGCATCACTTTGATAAAAGTTGCATTCAAATGATTTCCATCAGTAGAAGACAGGGTATCTTTAGCATGCTCTCCCTAATCCTCTGTGCCCACAGAGAAGATCCGACCCCGAGGATGAGTTTCAGGAAACGATGGACCGAGTGAGATTTCAGCCTTAATTAAAAATTATTGTTTTTGCTTCAAAAGAAATTGCTTCTCGATTTGAAGTGGCCACATGCCGTTCTCTTTTCCACTGAGCTCTCTGAAGCCAAAAACACACACACACACACACACACACACACACACACACACACACACACACACACACACACACACACACACACACACACACACACACACACACACACACAGAACAATGACAGACGGAGAATCTGAGAGCGTTCACTTCAGCGGTACCCGTGTCTGCTTTTGACCCAGTTAGACGAAGACTTGGTTGAATAATGAATAAGCCGTTTTTTAACAAACCAGAATTCTCAAAAGTCTGTCATGCATGTTTTAAATAAAAAAGGTCACATAAACTACACGGGCAGTTTTTGTGGAGGTTTATATCGTGGAAAAATGGAGATTCCCTCTTCAACTTCCTCCGGGGGCTCCCCTCGGACTCCTGTAGTTCAAACAGTTCATGAAAATTCACCTCCATTCATTTTTTGTTTCCAGCTGTGGTGACACACAGCCACACAGACGAGGCCGTCACCCTCATAAGGTCATGATTGTGTATATAAGGAAAGCGGTGGTATACTGTGCAGTATATAACGCTTGTGAAGTGTTTGATTGAACGGCTCCTCAGTTAAAGTCAGTGAGTGACCAGCGGAGGTGCTGGTTGTCTGTACTACAGAACTTTCACTGCAGGCTGAGAGCTCATCTAGCATCCTGTAGCTAGTAAGAGAGCCAACAACAGACTAAAGGAGCTACAGAGCTGCACAGAAACTGCACGCTGTAGACTTTGCTGAGCGCAGAGGAAATCATCACACAGGATTAAATTTTAATTGTTTTAGTAGAGACCTCCAAAACAAGACGTGTCTATGATTTACATAATTCTTGGACCTGTAAGCTCACATCGAGTACAAATATGACCAGTAGGAAGTTTATTCATTTTAGAAGGTCAACATGGAAACCCACTTCCTGTGTTTTTGGCAGATTGGAAATCAGCACCCTTCACCCGTATTTGGTATGGGTGGGTTAATAAAACACATGCTTTGAAAACAACAAATTGATTATCTTGCCTCTCAGTCGACGTTTATTTGCAGCTTAATAATCTAAATGAACCTACGAGGACATGGCTGCAATGGAGACTCTTACCAACCTCAAGATAATGAACAAAAATACACTTTTTTTTTTTCTGTTTATGAGCGAGATAAAAAACATGAGTGTTTTCTTGTTGAATTATTTCCCTTCATAGCCAATTACTTGAATACAGTAAACCTTGATTTGATATCATACCTCATTGGATTTAGCTGCCAGTTAAAATAGTGGCAGGTATAAAAAAATGAGTGAGTGGTCGTTTTTGAATCCTCCAGTCACAGTGGCAGGTGGGGGGAAAAAGTTAATTTCCAACCCTGTTTTGTGGGGATATTAACTTCCTGAGTTGACTGTACTCACACTCACTGATCAGAGTCTGTAACTAAAGCCGGGGTTATTCTTCCGTCATGAGCTCTACACACTCGTGTGTTGGTGTCTTCATAGCTCTGCACTAATCTGCCTAAGAGAAACACTGGTTGGCAGTCCGATTTCTCTGCTCCTTATATCGCCTTTTTTCACTTTGGCCACATTCTCTGCTTGCATCTGTGTAGGAAACCATGGCGACAGAAAGCGAGCATATTATGTTGAGTTGGATCTGATAAATACGGAGCAGCCGTTGTTTAAACTGGCTTGTAGCGTAACTTCTGCTGCATTTTGAAAACGACGGCGATGCCAGAAACGTTGTAAAGGCAGGAAATACGATGCTACCCAGCGGACCAATCTTGCAGACTTGCAGATGCTTCGTTTCAATGTGTAGTTACATTTTTGAGGAGGTCAACGCCATGCTATAGAGGAAGGCTTCACCGTAGGTACAGGGCTGCCTGGATCTACGGCGCAAGTTAGACGCAGAATAAATCAGGCTTAAGACAAAGAAGTGTTGAATAACTAATTTGTTTCACAGGAACCGCCCACTTTACAAAGAACAAATTGTCTAACTGTCTAGGTGTGTTTAAAGTAAACTGGTTAACCATGCATTTACACCTCCATGTCTACCAGCTGTCTAATGAGCCGCGGCTGTATTTCCTTTTTTCTTTTTTATAGATTTTTATAGATTTTTTCACCATTACAAAGATTATTTAACACCCTAGTGCTCTGACATTCATCGCAGTAACAAAAAGGAATACATAGAATAAATTACGAATTAAATTAAATCAGGAACAGACAAACAAACCAACACAGAAAAAAAAAACAGGCAATACAAAACAAATAACAGCCATCATCATCTTGTGTAACAGAAGCAGACATAAACAAGAATGAAAAGCACAAACTTGTCACTTCATCTGTCAACTAAAACTCTACTAAAGGTCCTTGTCTCCCTGTTTCTTTTTGTCACATGTGGAGGAGAGATAAAGAAAGAGAGAAAATTCCGCTAATGGGGTCACCCCAGTCCAAAGCATACCTGCCCTTCTTTATAATGTAATGACGACTCTGTATTTTCAATCCCCAGACAATCAGGACGGCAGCGACTGGCGGGACGAAGACGAGAAACTGCCCGGTCATGAGAACCTAACAGAAAAAGACATCGAGCTGTTCAGACACATCCAGGAGCTGGCACTACAGGTACACTGATGGATAAATGAAATGTCTGAAGAAACACTTGTTGTGTGTGAACGGGGATGCAAAGAGAAAAAACTGGAGGGGGGCCAATAGTGTGGAGTGAGACAGGATCAGCAGGGGAGCCCGGGAGGGGACGTGCTTTGTCTGAGGCTGAGACAGGATGCAGTGATTAGACGTGGTGTTATGTGTGCAGCCGGGGGAGCTGGATTTTAAACGATGAAAGGAGACGCCGAGTCAACAGCAGCCTCCATGTGAGAAATTGAGTCACCGTTCTAAACGATGTGTGCGAGTTGAGGGCACGCTTTGTGAGTGAAACAGTCAATGAGCTGTGTGAGAGAGAAGACAGAAATTAATTTGAAACAGAACAGCTGCATCAATAATAAGCCTCGACCACAGATCCAGCGCACATGAGCAGAGGTGAGAGTAGGATTCAACTTTGACTCAGAGATGGAGAGATGTGCACGTTCACCACACTGCTGTTTAAACCGCTGCTCGGTGAGAACACTGCCCCCTGGAGGCAGGCGCTGTTGATACTGTACATGTTGAATAAACTGTTATGTTAAGAGTGAACTCTAAACGGGGCGTCTGTAATAATGACATGTCAGCCGAGTCTGGAGGACCAGAGAGGAATACATTAATCATCTAATGAATGTGTCTGTTCATGCTGTGATCTGGGAGTGTCTTGTTGGACAAGCGTCACAGGGCTGGTGTGATGACACTATCCCACGTCCAAATAGGAACTTATTGTGAGTCGTTTTAGTCAGATACAACCGTAACACTCCACTCAACTTTATTTATATTGCACTTTAAACACAACATAGTTGATCCAAAGTGCTGAACATTGCAGAAAACAAAGCATTAGAAAGTAACAGACAAGAACAACAACAATTTAAAGAAAACAACAAGTGACAGTTAATTCCAGTGTAACACAAGACTAACAGAGCTATGGGTTGTTGTGCTTGACGGGGTTACTGAACATTAAAGGCAATTGAGTATAATTATGTCTTGAAGGCGAGTTTTAAAAACACCAATACTGTGAGAGAGATGGATGTCTGGGGGCAAAGAAAAAGCCCGATCCCCGTTGCACCTTGTCCTGGATCTAGGCAGTGACCGAAGGGTTTCGGGGATTTCTCAATAATTGAGGCTGGGATTGATTATACGTCATGTCCACATTGTGTACCCGTGCCTGCGCTTGTGCAAGTGAAACTGTACCTTTCTGAAGCACACCTTTACACCATGTCAGGGCCAAGATGGTGTACCAAACCAAGCACTCACACAAGTCAAACAAACCGGACTTCAGGGTCAAACATGCTTAGCGCGGTACAGATTGCCTGGTGTGAGTGCGCCCTTAAAAACTTGAAGTGGATTTTCACAGTGGTGGTCAATGTAGCAATAACTTGAGCAATAACTGGAGCAATAACTTCCACCTGCAGGCTGTGCTGATCATACAAGTTGTTTACCTGCTCGCAGTGCTTCTCCAGCAGTGCCGACGTTTAGCAAGATGCATGGAGAGGTAGCCTCCGTCTTCATCCTGAGACATATGTTCTGGTTTGATTGTATCCTCTACCTAAATGATGTCCTCTGCACCAGTGAATTGTGAGTGTGTGTTTTCTGCTGGTGTGTAAGACGAGCAAAGGCAGTCAGTAGATATCCAAGCTGTGAAACAGGCTGTGGTTCCCCTGAACAGTAAAAGGAGTTGCTGCATCACAGAGACGAGGAGAACATTTATCACACTGACTGTCTTATTGGACGGATAGAGTTGAGGGTTGTGAGTGGACTAACCATACCTTTAAGGGTCAATCCTTATGTCTCTCTCTGATCAGTCCTTTCAGCTCCTGTTATCTCCGTCCCAGTTGAATTATAGAAATGCTTCATTCCTGTCATCTGAAAGTCTAACATCTAATGGCTGTGGCTCAACGGTAGAGATGGTCATCTTCCAATCGGCAGCTCAATTATATGAATGCAAACTGTGAATGTGCGGTTGATAGGATAAGTGTGAGCGGTAGTGTGAAGCTCTCTGAGTGGCCCTTATTCAGGTGTAGACCATTTCTGATTTATCTTTTGCCCCTTTGCTTTCCACATGTCCCCTGATCTGCTGAACCACTGTATTGACCATTTCTCCCTTTCTGTCTCCTTCTTCCTTGTTGCTCACCCCAAACAGAAAGTAGGGGTGACGGGTCCACCAGACCCTCAGATGCGCTGCCCGTCAGTCATCGAGTTTGGAAAGTTTGAAATCCAGACGTGGTATTCGTCTCCCTACCCCCAGGAGTACAGCAGGTAAGAGGCACAGCAGAATAATAACCTCAGCTCTCTTAGCGCTGCTCGTAGGCGGAAAGGAAATTAGCATCAGCGTGACGGCGCTTAATTATAACATCGTTCACAGTACCACCTACTTTGGCAGGTAACCAGCCAGAGCAGGGGAGGTAATTTGATCCAGATGATGAATACAATCAGCCTTTAAAGGAATGTGCTTTCATCAGGGAATGTGTCAATCTGGAGAATTAATAAAAGCTCAGCTACACTTAGTCATCCTTTTTTAAAACCCATTCCTCACAGCTTCTTCTGTTCTTCTTCTCTTCTTCTTCTGTCAGGTTACCGAAGCTCTACCTGTGTGAGTTTTGTTTGCGCTACATGAAGAGTCGCAGCATCCTCTACCAGCACATGAAGAAGTGCAGCTGGTTCCACCCTCCTGCCAACGAGATCTACAGGAAGGACGACGTCTCTGTGTTTGAGGTGAGTTCAGAAAGACGGACCCAGTGATGCAGGAAGTTAAGAAACAAGTGAGAGCTCTGTGACTCGTGGGTCAGAGGTTACTGTGACCCCTGTCATAGTCACACTCCTTCTTAAATCCACTGCAACCCCAAACTTATCCACTGAAGTCTCTCTTAATCTCCTTTAATGAAACATGAAATATGTTTTCCATATTTTTATTTAATTTTCACTGATCACAGGGCTTGCAGTTGACACACAAGTATAATTAAGGCTTAAAGGCCCTGACACACCAAGCAGATCGTCGGCTGTTTGTCCTAGCTGGACCGTCTTTGAGCGGTCGTCGCTCTAGATTTTGCAGTGTGTCCTGCTCCGTTGCAACCCGTCGTCCCCCGTGCTGTCTTTTGTTGGCCAATTCGGCGCTAGTGGTCAGTGAGAGGGATCTCTCTGATTGGCTGTTGGGAGGTTTAATTTCTCTCCAGCTCTCCTCTCAGGTTCAGGAAAGCCCCTTGAGCATGTCTCTGTAGTATCCATGCTTTCACCCATTAGTGTGGCTTCTCCTTATTGTCTCCTCTGCCTCTATTCTTTTTCCACTAAAAGACCAAGGACTGACAACACCAGCTCCATTGTCAACTTTTTATCAGACATTATTCTCCATTAGTAGTCTACCTCTAATACGAGTGGTGATCGACAGCGGTGTGAAAATGGTCTTGTATCATAACAACAGACTACCGCCCCCTGCTGGCATGGAGAGTTATTTCCTCTCACGCGTGAGCAGAACGTACATGGTGGTTGGCCGTCGGCTGTAGTCTTTGCGGTGTGTTCTAGTGCAACTTTTTGGTAAAGACATGAGGCGACGCCACAGGCAGCCTTCGTCACCACCAGGTCTGTGCCGTCTGCTTGATGTGTCAGGGCCTTAAGACAAAGAAGTGATGAATAACTGATTTGTTGTGATAGTCGTCTCGTCAATTTACAAACGATGTACTTTATGTTTTACATATTTTTCACTGTCAGGGATGAATGATATCGATTGTGCACCAGCACTTTGTCAACAGTGTTCTGTATACAGCTTCTTGATAAGACTTCAGGTGGTGACAACTTGACATCCAGGGTAATTCATAATCACAGTTTACAGTACACTTGGTTTTCTGGGCCTCGTTGCACAGCAGCAGATTAATTCAGGGTTAAGTTGTCTGCAGGCCGATGCCTCTGCAGCTTCTGTTTCCCCGCTCTGCAGTCCATCCTCGCTCGAAGGAGAACAGAGACAGCTGGAAAGCTGCCAACCTGAACCTCTCTCTCTCTCTGTCTTTTTCCAGCTCTTTGTCTCTCTCTCCCTGTCTCTCACTCTCCCCCTCTCTCTCTCTCTCTCTCTCTCCTTCCTCTCTCTCTCTCTCTCTGTCTCTCACTCTCCCCTCTCCCTCTCTCTCTCTCTCTCTCTCTCTCTCCTTCCTCTCTCTCTCTCTCTCTGTCTCTCACTCTCCCCCTCTCCCTCTCTCTCTCTCTCTCTCCTTCCTCTCTCTCTCTCTCCCTGTCTCTCACTCTCCCTCTCTCTCTCTCCTTCCTCTCTCTCTCTCTCTCTGTCTCTCTCTCCCTCCCTCTCTCCCTGTCTCTCTCTCTCCCTTTCTCTCTCTCTGTTTCTCTATCTCTATCTATCTCTCTGTTTCTCTCTCTCCCTCTCTCCCTGTCTCTCTCTCTCCCTTTCTCTCTCTCCCTCTCTCCCTGTCTCTCTCTCTCTCCCTCTCTCTCTCTCTCTCTCTCCCTATCTCTTTCTCACTCTCTCTCCCCCTCTCCCTCTCTCTCTTTCTCTCCCTCTCTTTCTCTGTCTCTCTCTCTCTGTTTCTCTCTCTCCCTCTCTCCCTGTCTCTCTCTCCCTCTCTCTCTGTCTCTTTCTCTCCCTCTCTCCCTCTCTCTCTCTCCTTCCTCTCTCTCCCTCTCTCTCTGTCTTTCTCTCTCTCTCCCTCTCTCTCTCTTTCTCTCTCTCTCTGTCAGGGTCTCCAGAGACTCGTCTGAGATCATTGTCCACTCTTCCGCTCACCTTCACTTTGTTCCTCTGCTCCCTAACAGCAGCTTAAAGATGTTCTGCTGAGCATCAGCGTGTCGTTTAGGAAACTTTCCATCATCGTGTTCTCACAAGTTGTTTTCTGTCCCCACTGATCTGACTGCAGGTTGATGGGAATGTGAGCACAATCTACTGTCAGAACCTGTGTCTGCTGGCCAAGCTGTTCCTCGACCACAAGACCCTCTACTATGACGTGGAGCCCTTCCTTTTCTACGTCCTGACCCAGAATGACAGCAAGGGCTGCCACCTCGTCGGCTACTTCTCCAAGGTGAGGACCATGATGCACCTCACCTCCCCTCCCCCCCTGCCCTGGATTCAAGTCCCTTTTGCAAACCTGTCTCAATGACTAAGACTCAAGGTTGTATTTTTAGTTCCCACCCTGCACTATCCTGCAAATTAAAACTTTGGAGAGAGACCCCACACTAGGCGATTTGGACCAAAACTCATATCTTGATATTGTTTAGCTGAATGGTGATACTCGCTATATATCGATATGTATTTTATTAACAGTGAAAACACATGGAAAAATGAACTACCTGTTTGTGAATTTAAATAGTAATATTATAAAATAAAATTGTTCCTTAAATACAATAAAAGAGAGAGAGAGGAGGAGCAGGGTGAAGAGGGACAGACAGTCAGACATCATCAGTGAGGTGAGAAAAAGGTGACCTGGCACCTCTATAACGTTATTTTAATGAAACATAAACTATATCAATTTTAACGATATTGTCTTACCCTATATCTTGTTTGAAAATATATCCATATATCTTAAAAACTCGATATATGGCCCAGCCCTACACCAACGCATTCCTACAAACACACAAATTGCTACCGCTGTGTTTCAGACAAACACTCGGTGCTGTGAGCTCCGCTGTCCCTCTGTGGAGTTTTACAGGCGCAGGTGCTCCCATTAACAAGCCACCTCTCTGCCAAAACACAGCAGTTAGTGAGCGGAGGCAGAACCATCAAACCCCCCGCTGTACACCGACACAGTCCTGCTCTGTGATGTTGTTTCCAGGATTTTTTTGTTCTAATGCGGGGAAATCTGCCTCTCTTTCTTTCTTTCTCCTCCAGGAGAAGCACTGTCAACAGAAGTACAACGTATCATGCATCATGATTCTTCCACAGTACCAGCGCCAGGGCTACGGACGCTTCCTCATCGACTTCAGTAAGGGCCTCAGGCGCTGATGAGAATCACATAAAATAACTTAATAATGAATGTGTGTGCATCTTTTCCTGACTCATCTTCTCCCTGCCCTCCTCCTTCCTTTGCAGGTTACTTATTGTCTAAGCGCGAGGGCCAGCCAGGATCTCCAGAGAAGCCGCTGTCTGACCTCGGTCGGCTGTCCTACATGGCGTACTGGCGCAGCGTGGTGCTGGAGTGTCTCCACGAGGTGCGCGACCGACAGATCACCATTCGACAACTCAGCAAACTGACAGGGATCTGCCCGCAGGATATCACCACCACCCTGCACAGCCTCGGCATGCTGGAGCCACGAGGAGAAAGGTCAGAGGAAGGACCTGCACACACTCGGGACATGAGGGGACAGAATCAGCCTGCATGCTAGCATAGCACTAACTGACTGTAGGGAGAGACAGGAGGGGGATCAAGTATCCAGACGGTAGTATCAAAACCTCACCTCACATGTAACATGATATGTCAATCAGCCCGGTTACACCATGAATGTGAGCAGAGCCGCTGCAGTAGACTGCAGGAGGATCATTGCTCAAACTTCCTGCCTTCATCAATTACCTCCCCTTCTGTTCTTTAGAAGATCTTATACATAGACGTGTTGGTGACACTTTGATGCAGACATCCTTGGGGGGGGGGGGATAAATATTAGCCAAGAGTGACTGTTTGGTGACTTGCTCAGGTAGTGAGTTGGCACCTCTCCAGCTACCAGACCAACTTCTAAACTTTGGGGACTTGAACTGGCGACCCTCCATTTCCGAACCTAAGTCCCTACAGACTGAGCTACTGCCGCTCCATAGTACATGTATGGTTGCCTACCGTAAATTGAGAATATAAGTCGCACCGCTGTATTAGTCCCAGTCTGTTTCTTGGGGGTTGGCCAACTCTCCCCCTGTTTGACTAAAGTCCACAATGTGCAGTTTCTGTGCAGCTGTGTCGCTCTTTTAGCTCTTTGTTGAGTTTACTCTCCTACTAGCTACATTATGGTAGCTGAGCTCTCAGCCTGCAGTGGAAGCTGTGAAGTCCTGACATCCTCCAAGTCCCGCTGCCCACCTCCTCTGGTCACCCTTTGACGTTTACTGAGGGGTCTTTACAATCAAACCAAGCTTTAATTACTAAACAAAATACCAGTTCAGTTTTCTTTAAATGCAGGATAACGACCTCATGAGCGAGAAAAGCTGGTAACCGCCAGCCTGCTCTGTGTCGCTATGTATCCCCTCACAGCTGGCAATTTCCAGTCTCATCAGGTGGCGTGCAGTGTGTGACAGTGGCGGCTGCACTCACAGTAATGACGGCAGTTTGTCAGCATTGTATACTGGTATCATGGTTGCACCGCTGAAGGATGCAGGCAACTTGTTAGATAAAGAAAAAAATATTAAAAGTGCATCTTACACCAGATGATAAAGTACATGCTCACACTTTTGCGCAAAACCTTTCACACGTGTGCTGCAAATTATTCAGACCTGTAGAAACACACACATCTGGATTCTAGAGTTCCACATGTTCTGACCTGAGACTTTAACCCAGCAGAGTTCAATGATCCCAGTTTGTATATTTGCTTTTTCCTGCTTTTGCCGTTCACATCCCTGACACATGCAGACATGCACAGCTAACTTCTCTCCACTTGCATGTTGAAGACCCCCCCCATACAGACCATTAATGCTCTTTGTCTTTTTGTTTGGTTTTCACAGCATGGTCCTGGTGCGCAGGGAGAAGCTGGTGTCTACCCACATGTCTCGTCTCAAGGCGCGGCCACGGCAGCTGGAGGTGGATCCCGATAGCCTCCGCTGGACCCCCGTCATTGTAACCAACACTGTGGTCTCTGATGCAGAAGGAGATGATGACGAGGAGGAGGATGAAGAACCAGAGGAAGAAAAACACAAAGAGGTAACTTTTGCATTTGTACTTGATTTCAAAAGGAGAGATCTAAAAGTCGCTGAACATTCTCACTGATTATTTGTTCTCTTCTCCTCGGCCCGTAAAAAGATCAAACCAAGTCACAAGGTCCCACCGCTGTCCTGGCACATGCGCCAAGGAAAGAAGAGGGAGGAGGAAGAGGAGGACGATGACGAGGAGGAGGAAGAGGAAAGAAAGGGCTTCTTGGGGTTTCCCATTAGCCAAAGCTCTCCAAGTTCCTCTCCTGCACGCTGTCCGCCGCCTCTCCCAGAGCCGCCGCGTCCCCCTCCACCTGCAAACGGAGAACGCAGACCAAGGGGGCGCCCGCCCAAAAACTGGCCCTGGGGCAAGGTGAAAGACAGCGCGAGGGTGGGACGGCCACCTAAGATCCGCTCGGTGGAGGATGAAGACGACGAAGACGAGGAGAGGACCGAAGGAGGGAAAACCGCCGGCTCTGCCAACAGCCCCCCCTCCCTTTTCTCACTGGACAGACAAGCAGAGTCCACAGCCTTTCACACGCTAGACATGGCCCGGCACCCCTCCATAACCCCCAACCGACGAGGCCGGCCGCCGAGGAAAAAGAGAGGCCCAAAGCCTCGACTGTCCGAGGGGCCCGGCGAGGGGCTGACCCAGCTCCCTGTGGTCTCCAGGCTGAACGAGTCTCCACCCATCAGGAAGAGCTGCTTCAGTGAGAGCAGCGAGGAGGAGGAGGAGGACGACGACGAAGACGAGGAAGAGGACGAGGAGAGGAGGGCGTGCTCTCCTCCCATTCTCACCAAACCTGCAATGGGGCTCAAATGCAAGGTAGGAAACCAACAGTTCTTAGACTTTCTCATTTGGAAATTATGTTTAAATTTAGGAATTTAGATGTAGGATTAATCGTCCTTCAGGTAAATGTTTTCAAACAATTAAAATAATAAGTTGTACTCGATTATGATTTGAAGTTCATTTCATCACCTTTACCATAATAATCTTGTTTTTCCATCACTCTGGGTCTGTTTGGGGCCATGACATTAAAACACAATTTTCCAAAGCACCCCTAATTCCCTTTCCCTTTCTACCCAGAAGCCACTGAGAAAGCGTCGCTTTCGCCAGCGCAGCCACCCTCACAGCAGCGTTGTCACGGAGACCATCTCCGAGACAACCGAGGTGCTGGACGAGCCCTTTGTGGACTCGGACTCAGAGAGGCCCATGCCGAGGCTAGAGGAGGAGACGCTGCACCGTTACCCCCCAGCCCGCTCTGCCCTGAGGTTATCTGACCCGGCGCCCAAAAGAGGCCGACACTCCAACCTCACGGACTCCGAGGAAGACGGTGAAATGAAAAGCTTTTTTTTTTTTTTTTTACAAAATATTGTAAAATTTAGTGGTTGATTTATACATATGTTTGTGTGGAGCTTTATCTAACACAGGTTTTTCTTGTCGTCTCTTCCCAGAGCTGACGCCCGTGCTGAAGCCTGTGGCAGCTCTGACGGCAACGCAATCGGAGACGCTAGCAGCCAACCCTGAGGTCCCAGTGAAGAAGAAGAAAGGCTGGCCTAAGGGGAAGAGCCGCAAACCGCTGCACTGGAAGCAACGAGAACCTGGAAAAACACCCGGTGCAGACAGTCAGGCCCAAAGCGGGGATCCTCCACCACCACCCAAAATCAAGATGAAGCCCGGACGCAAGCCCCGCAGCTGGTACCTGCAGCGTGCCCAGGAGGAGGCGGAGAGGCAGGAGCAGGAAAGACAAAGACAGCTCGACAAAGACCCACAGCTGCTCCAGACCGACGATCGTAACAGCAAACGAGTCTGCAGAACCAACGCTGACAGAGACCGCAAAGAGAAAGACTCAGACGAAGAAGACGACTATCACCCTAAGCCGGTTGAGCAGAAGGTGCCCAGGAGGCGAGGGAGACCGCCCAAGAACCGCACCCTCCTTCAACCACCACAGCCCGCCCCCAAACCGCCTCCTGCCTCTGAGCCAGACGAGGAGGAGGAGGAGGAGGAGGAGGAGGAGGAGGAGAATCTAGGAGCGTGGGAGGAAGAGAAACCCAGCCGTCCACCGTCCCGTCCCCTGATTTCTCCTTCATCCTCTTCTGCCACTTCAGGGCCCCGGGCCCCTCAATCCCGGCCTCAGGACACAGACGTGGGAGACAGGGAAGAAGACGATGATGACGAGGAGAGGGAGGAAGAGGAGTGTGGCAGCACAGGTAGCGGTGGTGGGAGTATCAACAGGCGGACAGCGGTCACACCGGGCTCGGGGAGCAGGCGCAGTGAAGACCACGACGCAGACGATGAAGGTGACGGACACTTGGAGGATAAGAGCAACAACAGTGGTGTTAAGAAGAGAAAAAGTCAGGACTCGGAGGACGAAGAGGACGACGAGGACGACGAGGAAGAACCGGCCTCCCGCGCCAGCTCGCCTCCGGTCAAAGAAGAACCCCAAGGTGGGGAGGCTTTTTTAGACATGGAGAGCAGCGCGGCTCGGGAGTATGTCAGCAAGCAGGAGGAGGAGGAAGAGGAGGAGGAGGAGGAGGAGGCTGAGGAGGAGGAGGTGGTGGTGCAGGAGACCAAATGTCAACCCCCCTCCTCGGCTGACCCTCAGCAGGAGGAGAGGCGGCGCAGAGAGCAGGAGGAGTCGGCCGCAGCTGCAGCAGCGGTGGAGACGGTGACGGCCATGTCTGCTCCCTCGGAGCCCATGGAGCTGCAGCCTCTGCACCCCGAGGACAAGGACGTCACGCTGCTGATGGAACCCCAACACTCACATCCACACTCCCACCCGCACCAGCATTCTGACTTCAAAGAGGAGCTCGGACACCATCACTCCCACCACCCCCATCATCATCACTCCAATGAGCTGGACCTGGAGACCATGCAAGCCGTCCAGTCCCTGACTCAGGGGGAAGCCCAGGACGAGGAGGCCGAACCCCAGCCGCACCATGGGGCCTACCAGGACTGTGAAGAGACCCTGGCCGCCTGTCGGACCCTGCAGAGCTACAGCCACGCGGGGGAGGCCGAGGAGGAGGCCCTGGCGTTGGTAGAGGAGTGCGGGGCTTCCCAACACAGCAGCCCCCTCCCAAATCCTCCAGTGGCCCCCCTGCCCAGTCAGTCTGTGCGCTCAGTGAACAGTCCCGGGTTGAACTCAGGCCTCATGGACACGGCACCAGCCGGGCAGAGGGGAGGGACACCCGGCCCTAACGGAGCAGGGGGAGGCGGCGGTGGAGGAGGGGGCTACACCCAGATCACACCAGAACACCCCAGCTCTCTCTCAGCCCCCTCCCAGCAGAACATGGAGACGTCACCGATGATGGACGTGCCGTCGGTGTCGGACCACTCGCAGCAGGTGGTGGACAGCGGCTTCAGCGACCTCGGCAGCATCGAGAGCACCACGGAGAACTACGACAACCCCAGCAGCTACGACTCCACCATGGGAGGAGGCGGGAGTGGGACGGGGAACGGGGGCAACGGAGGAGGAATGTCGGCCGCCGTCGTCACAGGAGGTTCAGCGGTTTCATCGTCATCGGCCTCCTCTTCTTCTTCTTCCAGCTCGGCCACACCGTCCTCCTCTCAGTCCAACAGCTGCTCCTTCGTGCCCGCCCCCGGCCACACATCTTCCACGGGAACGGGCGGATCCCAAATAGGGATGGGCAGCTGTAATCTAATCCCACAATCTGGACCGGGTGCCAGTGCTGTACCGCAGCCTCCACCGCCCCCACCCCCGTCCAACACGGCCAACTGTGGTATCAAGTCTCCTCAGAGCTGTGGTGTGATTGAGAGGCCGCCCAGTACCAACCAGCAGCAGCAGCAACAACAATCCCAGAAAAAGGTTTCTCAGCAGCAACAAGCCCCTAACCCTCCACCATCAGCTGCACCCCCTCCCTCACAGCAACAACAACAACAACAACAGCAGCAGCAGCAGCAGCAGCAGCAGCAGCAGGCCCTGTCTCAGTGCAGCATGGGCAACGGCTTCTCCTCCACACCGATGATCATGGAGATCCCCGAGAGCGGAGGTGGAGGAGGGGGCCGCAACCTTTACGAGCGCATGGGTCAGGACTTTGGCACGGGGGGCTACCCCCAGCCCTCTGCGACATTCAGCTTGGCCAAACTCCAGCAGCTCACCAACACTATCATGGACCCCCACGCCATGCCCTACTCCCACTCGGCCTCCGTCACCTCTTACGCCACCAGCGTCTCTCTGTCCAACCCTGGGCTGGCCCCGTCACCACACACTCCTCTCCCTCAAGGCCAGCCCACCATGACCCCGCCTCCCAACTTGACTTCTGGCTCCATGAACCTGGGTTCTCTACAGCTACAGTGCAACATGCCCACCGCCAACATCGGCCTCGGCCCCCCGCCGCACACGCAGCGGCTGCAAGGCCAGATGGCCACGGTCAAAGGACACATCTCCATCCGCTCCAAAGCCACCCAGCAGCTCGCCCCCGCCCCACACCAGCAGCAGCTCTACGGTCGCAGCTCGGGGGCCGTGACCATGCAGGGCACGCCGCGCACTCTGGCCGTGCAGCGCGGCATGATGCCGAACCTCATGCCCACGCCGGCACCCTACAACTCCATGAACATGACGCCCCTGAACGCCATGTCGGCCGGCTACCGGATGCCCCAGCCGATGATGAACAGCGGTTACCACGGCAACCCCCCTTACATGAATCAGCCAGCTCAGTACCCCATGCAGATGCAGATGGGCATGATGGGAGGGCAGGGTTACCCGCAACAGCCTATGCAGCCCAATCACCACGGCAACATGATGTACACTGGCCCCACCCATCACAGCTACGCCGGCGTCCCCAAACAGTCACCTTACATGAGCAGATGAGCAGCGGAGAACTGAAACAAAGGAGTCATAACGGGACCAGAGCTGATAAATCCCTGTACTCTAAAATGTCCATTACTCCTGTTGGCCCTCTCCAGTGCCCGACAGGCACGTGTGAGTGTGAGGTGTCGGAGTCAGAGAGGGTTTTGGGTTTCCTCTTTTTCTATGTTGTAATTTCGTCCCTTTTTAATTTGGGCTCGTTCCCCCCCTCCCTCCCAGCTGGCTGTGCTCAGGAGCAGGTCGGCAGGATTCCAGGGGTTGGGGGTGTGTACATGGACCGCGGCCGTGCCGGCTTGCGTCACAGGCCTCTGTCATGTGGTTTCACATAAGGTCCAGGAACCTCCCCCCCTCGTGAGGAGGAGAGAGAGAGAGAGAAGGAGATGACGGGAAAGATACACAGAGAAAGACGATGCAGGAGTACCTTGCTTTTTTCAGACTGGGATGAAAAAACATTGGAAAACTGAAATATATTCAACCATGCACACAATCTTTTAATTGATATAGGAAGCCTTACCTTGAAAAAAAAAGAGACATTGAATCATTGTAGGCGAACTCTTTGTTTTTTGTTAAACAAAATGTTGAAACTTATTTTTGTTGTCTTTGTTTTTCTTGATTGTTTTTTTTTTTTTAACTGTGTGCAGTCCGATCTCGTATATGCTTTGGTCTTTATATGTGTGGCATTCTAAAAACGGTGATACACACCCTCTCTCACGCTCTCACCCAAACACACGGCTTTCCAGCTAATTCCAGGAAAAGCAGGAGTGAGCACCTCCAGTGTTTGAGGCGTTGAGCTGCAGAGTCCCCGTCTTCCCGGATCGACAGTGTTGTACCAAAAAAAAAAACACAGCAAAAACAGACGAGAAGAGCCCGTTACTGTCTTATTATATGTCCATAAAATGAAACAAGTAGCATTATTTTCCAGTTTGCTGCCACTCTGAAAACATTTAGATGTAAATATTCTGGTACTTCCCGATATCCAGCACACACACAAACACACACACGGGCTAGCTTCGGTGGCTAGCACGGGGAAAGTACAACATTCAGTTGTTGTTGTCCACACTCCACTGACACGCGGTGTACTACGTCAGCCTGTTTTTAGCAGTTTTAGGGAACGCAGAACAAACGGTGGGATTTACATTGAACTGCTTTAAGGAGGGTCAGTTAGCGTTAGCTGACCTCCCCCTCATAAGTGTTAGAGACCCAAAGAGGTCGAGGAGTCTGCTTCTGAATAGTGTATTCTGTTGAATCTTTTTTTTTACTTGAGATGTATTTTTCTTTGCTGAAAAATTCTGCACTCCCATTGGCTAGAGACATTTGGCAGTGGACCTTTTGTAAAAGGTGTGCCTGAATGCCTGATCTAGTGCACGGTTCGGCCCCTGCATAGAGGCTCGCTCGTATGAAAGCAGGGTCCGAGGTAAGAGGTCCTGTGGGTCATGGCGTTCAGCTGTCAGGAGGGGGCGCGGTCGACCTTGATGCTCCATGTACCCGTACTGAAAGTCAAGAGTAGTTTTGAATTTCCAACAGACCTGACATGGCATACTTTCTCTGTATCGTTCTGTTCTGTACTTCTTTTTTGTTGTGTTTCTTTCTGAATTTTATCAGACTGGGCAGCTTTCTTTTATGACACAAGCTGACTCTTTTTGACTTTAGAAAAACCTATTGTAGAGAAAATGTTTTTTCTATAATATAAAAGGAAACTCTTACATTGATATTGGTACTGTCATTTTTTTCACTTCTGTTTCAGGAACAAAAAAAATACATATTTTTTAGCTCGCCTCTTGGGTAATACTTACTAAGAAATTCAAAATGTAAAAAAATTACCACTCACTTTTAGTGACTTTAAGATGCCTTTAACCTCTCCATTCCATCTCATCTCTAGAGTTTTTCTATCTTTGTGTAGTATAATAATGCTATTTTAAACAAAAGGACTACAAATATCTAAAGGTCACTTGGCATTCTTTTCTTTTCTTTTTTTACTCGTGTGTGTAAAGGATGACTTCCTTACATTTAAGAGGCATGTAAAAAGGAGCTCAGTATATTTCTGTCTGTTTATATCGCTTCCCTTTTTGTATCCTTTGTAATTGTACATGTTGCGTTGTATGCTAAGAGAGAGCGCAAAAAGTAAAGAGGAGGGACAGCTGGTGCACACGGTCAAGGTGGATATGCGCTCAGCGGCCTCAACTATCTACTCTCTCCTTGTATGTATTTCCATTTATTGTTATTTTTTTTCTTTCTTTCTTAGCAAGTACTTTCAAGGAACTCTGTACATTTTAACATAAAATGAAAATAAATTATGTTGAGCCATTTGTGTATTCCTGAACCCTTTTTAAACACAGTCAATTCTGCCACCAGGGGGCTCTCTATCAAAACAATAGCAAAAGATGACGTCAGGTTGGTATGGAATCATGGGAGTGTTAATGCTACGTCATTCCCCCCCCCTCCCCAAAAAAAAACGTTTTCAAGGCAACTGTACGAAACAAAACACACCTGAGGAAGAGAATATTTTTTATATTAATTGTAAAATTATTATCATTATGTTTTCGAGCTAATGTCTACAAGTATAATTTGCATGACGTTTATAAAACAGCAGTACATACAGCAGCTGTTGCTACGGTGGTTTTCAGTTCTCAGTAGCAGTTCACGCTTCCGGTCTTGACGTAACATCCGGTGTTTCCACGGCAACGATAAACATGTCCTGGCTGCCGCTGTGACATGACCGTTACAACTAAATAAGCAGCTTTTTTGCCGCCATGTTTTGTTCTTTTTTTCTTATTTTACAAACTTAAATGACGTCAGGAGATGATTCATTTAACCAAACACATAACAAGAGGCGGCTTAAAATACAAATTCATGAAGACAAAAATGTACCTGAGTTAGCCTATTTAATAAACAACATAAGATAATGTAACAGGAGGAGATTACACAGTAATAATACTGAAGTGGTGGAAGTTTGGTCATTATCTTAACATTTATATTCTATGGTTATTATATAATAATACAGTTTAAACTGTTTTCTTGTTCCTTATGCAGCGGTCTTTGACGTAACATCCGGTGCTTCCATGACAACGAACGCGGCTATCATGGCAACCGCCACAACAAGACACGTCGGACACGTCCCGTTACAACTATAAAAATTACAGATTTCTCCGGCTTTGATAACTGTTGGAAATATTTGAGGAAATGTAAAGTACTCAACAAAATATTTATAACATAGGTTTAGTCCATGTTTAATTAATTGAGATATTCAGTGTAAAAAGTATACTATTTAACCAAAGTCAGTTACAGAATCAATAACTTGTGCTTTAAATCTCACTCAGGGCTGCGTGTTGGAAAACAGCTTCCAATATAATTGGCCTACACATTATGCTGCAGGAGCTGCTCTTCAATAAAGACTGTCATCCTCCTGCGTATCCACTTCAAACTCCTCATCCTCACCTACAAGCCCTCCATAACCTGGCCCCCCCCCTGCCTGACCTCCTCCACCGCCACACTCCCACCCACTCTCTCAGGTCTGCTGATGCAAACCTCCAAGTGCTTTAAATCTGAGTTAAAGAGGTCCACTTTAAATGAACTTAATTTATTTTATCATAACAGAAGTTCTTGTGAAATCCTATCAAGAAATAAATATTAGAGAGGGAAGTCTTTGCATATTTATCATTAACTTTTAGAGGAGGGGTTTACACGTCCAACTATCTCATGAAGTAGGTGCGTAGGTCATAGCCTACTCATGGCATCACCAATTTATTAGAAAAAGAAAATGGAAATAAAATGGTGATGCCGAGCAGGAGTAGGCTAGTGTGCAGGATTTTGTCTTTTCAATAGCCACATACCTTTATCAAAAAAAACAAGCAGGAACGACTCACAAGAGTATGCTAATAATATTTATTTATATTTTATAAATGTATTATATTATTTATATAGAGGAACAATGAAGAGGAACAAGTAGACACATTTAAGGAAGGAGTTCATACAGCAGAACATTATGTTTTTATTACTTTGATACAGATCTTTATTACAAGTTGATATCCAAATTGAAAGTCTTGAAGTGATGAAGAATGTGTACTCTACCTCAGCTTTTATTAGGATGGGCTTAGAGTGTCATGTGATCTGATCTGTACTCCAAGATAAAAGATCGACATGTTTCATACTAACATATTCAGTTTCACTCACCTTTACAGAACCCACAGCAGGCCAACATTAGAAATGGACTGTGAGGCACATTGAGGAGTTCTCATGAGCACCTGTGGCCACTAGATGTCGCTGTTGAATCTTTTCTCTTTAGTCGAAAGCCTCCAACAGTTAAGTTTGATCATTCACTCTGACTTACACTGACATTTATTTCCATGTGATCATTCATATCTAATCCTTTAGTCTTGCTAAGTAAGGTCCACCTGGTTCATTATCTTTTATACTGATTTATACTTTTGATCACACGTTTAGATTTAGGCAGCAATTATGTTTATATTGATGATGCAAAGTATCTCCTCACATCCTACTCCTATACTTCTGTTGAATGAATGAATCTTTATTTTGGTGTGTGGACGCTCAACACAGCCCCTCCTGCCTTACGGGATTATTCAGACACATTTAAAGAAAACATTTCCTCATGCCATCGCACTGACACAAAATTATACAAAGATAAGATAGACAAAGATTTTTTTTTATTTAAAGATTTTTTTGGGGCGTTTTGTTCCTTTATTATAGGAGATAGAACAGTGGACAGAGTCAGAAATACTTGGTGGAGGGCTTTTTGCGGCCCACCTGCAGTACCCACACAACCCACCACACTTTGGGAAGCACTGCTCTAGAGCATGCCTATGTGTGTTGGTACTTTATCAAAGAATATTTTTCTTATGATACAGTGAAAGGTTAGTTTCCCTCTCTACTTCTGCTTCACCATCAGTGTGTGAGTGTATATGAATGGATGAGTTAATACTGATGGACTCTTTACACAGCAGCCTCTACCATCAGTGTGTGAATGTGTATGAATGGATGAGTTAATACTGATGGACTCTTTACTCAGCAGCCTCTACCATCAGTGTGTGAATGTGTATGAATGGATGAGGTAATACTGACGGACTCTTTACACAGCAGCCTCTACCATCAGTGTGTGAATGTGTATGAATGGATGAGTTAAAACTGATGGGCTCTTTACTCAGCAGCCTCTACCATCAGTGTGTGAATGTGTATGAATGGATGAGTTAATATTGATGGACTCTTTACACAGCAGCCTCTACCATCAGTGTGTGAATGTGTATGAATGGATGAGTTAATACTGATGGACTCTTTCCTCAGCAGCCTCTACCATCAGTGTGTGAATGTGTATGAATGGATGAGTTAATACTGATGGACTCTTTACTCAGCAGCCTCTACCATCAGTGTGTGAATGTGTATGAATGGATGAGTTAATACTGATGGACTCTTTACTCAGCAGCCTCTACCATCAGTGTGTGAATGTGTATGAATGGATGAGTTAATATTGATGGACTCTTTACACAGCAGCCTCTACCATCAGTGTGTGAATGTGTATGAATGGATGAGTTAATACTGATGGACTCTTTCCTCAGCAGCCTCTACCATCAGTGTGTGAATGTGTATGAATGGATGAGTTAATACTGATGGACTGGTCCATCAGTATTAACTATCTGTCCACGTCATTACTGTGATTAGAAGGAAAAGCCTCTTTCTAAAAGAACAAATAACTTGCACACAAGATGATGATTTTTCTTTAATATTTGGTTTTGACTCAGTCTCGATCCCTAAATGTCTTGGACTTGTCTCGTTCTTGGAGCTCTCTGGTCTCAGATATGTCTTGGTCTCAGTAGTGTGGTCTTGACTACAACTCTACTCTGGAGTATAAATAAAGGTTGAATAAATTAATGTTATATTAAAGACCCAACATGAGTCCATCATGAGTTTGTGCAGACAAAAAAAAAGCTCTTTAACAAAATTCAGGCCACCTCAGCACAACTCAGCGACCCAGCTGGACCACCCCAGGTCAAAAAGATAGATTGCCATTAACAAGATTTAAAAATAAAAATAAAAAATACTTCCATATCTTAATTACGCCAGATTAGCTAGTTCATCCTGACAGCCCTACTTTAAACTATATTGTCGACATTATTGAGTTATTAACGTTCTGTTAATACTGTATTTTTAATGTGTGTAACTTTATGTATTCATGTATGAATAATCTTTTTTGTACAGGTAGTTGATTGTCTCCATGTACTTACGTGTTCTTGTGTTGTATGAAATTAATTGTCAAAGTAGTGTGTCAATAAAGTGTATAAATAAATAAATACAAATATATGAATTGAATACTCCTCAAGATGAAATCTGATACTGGAAACAAAATGTCAGACCAGCTACATCCTAAAGGCCAATCAGCGGGTCGAGTTACTGATGTTTACTGAAGCTCCCCCCCTCTACGGTCCAATCACAGCCGAGTCACGAGCCATTAGCTTCCGTGTTCTTGACCAATTAGTCTATCATGTGGGCGGGATTAGGCAGCTCCCTCGCTCTGTGATTGGCTCGCTGTGCTCCTCTGTGCTTTTACTTCACCAGGATCTGCTCCACTAACGGGGAAGCGACGACGGCAGTTTAATCTTTCATCGTGGAAATAAAAAGAGGTGAACAGCGGGACGAATACTCCAGAAACGGTCTCCGGTAAGTCCAGGTCAGGTCGTGAATGTGTCATGTCGGTTAAGGGTGGTTTAACAGGCTGAAAAGCGTTTTTAAAATGTGTTTTCATCACCCTCGGGTGACGGGTCTTTTCCCCGGTCATGGGACTGATGGAGACGAGGCCTCATTCAGCGGCTCTGAGATTAACCGTGACCGGAAATGTCTCTGTCATAACGGTTACAATATAATGTATCCAGCTTGTTGTAGCGCCTCGTCCGAACATGACACCCTGTTCCGCATATTTAATGAACATCCAGGTGTCATATTTCTCTCCTATTAATAACACAACAGATAGTTCCCAACCAAGCAATCTGATTGGACAAGAGGGCATTCAACGAGTGATGTCTCCGGGACTTTTCACAATATGTATCCCTCCGAGATTAAAGTCAGGGTTGGTAATTCCCTCCAGATCCACTTTTTAAGATGTTGGTGTAAATTGTCTTTAGGTCCTGACAGAAATGAATAACTCATGATCTCTGAAAAAGAAACAGAGTCTGTAAAAACTTTGACCAATGTCTGCTACGAGGTACCAATCTGATGAACCAATCAGACGCCTCCCTGTCTCCCTGCTCGTTGTCTACCCGATGCATGCCCTAGCTCAGACTCAAAAACATGAGCTGAGGTCCGCTTCTGGACCAATGGTGCTCGTGCATGTAAGTGATGGGCGTGGCTTTTGAGGGAGCACAGAGAGGGGAGGGGCGTGGCTTTAGACAGATCACTGAGGGAATGCTACTTTCAAAATCATGCTAGTTTTTGAAAATGACCGACCCTGTCTTTAAGAGATGTAATTAGTAGACCATATCGTCCAGCCCTGATTTCTTTGCATGGCAGCCGTTTCTAATGTGAATGATTTGGTTTTGACCTTTGACCTTATCGGCCTCTCAGCCTCCAGCCAAGATGATCCACAGCCTGTTCCTGGTCAACGCCTCGGGGGACATTTTCCTGGAGAAGCACTGGAAGAGCGTGGTCAGCCGCTCTGTGTGCGACTACTTCTTCGAGGCTCAGGAGCGCGCGACCGAGCCGGAGAATGTCCCACCAGTGATCCCCACGCCGCATCACTACCTGATCAGTGTGCTCAGGCATCGCATCTACTTTGTCGCGGTCATCCAGAGCGAGGTGCCGCCGCTGTTCGTCATCGAGTTTCTGCACAGAGTCGTCGACACATTCCAGGTTTCTACTCACTTGTGCCTTCAGTATAATGTAGTTAAAAGGACTCGTGTATCTTATTTCAAACACCAACACCTCCTTCTTGTTTTGTCTGTGTTGTCAGGATTATTTTGGAGTGTGTACAGAGGCCGCCATTAAAGACAACGTAGTAGTTGTCTATGAACTTCTGGAAGAGATGCTGGACAACGGCTTCCCGCTGGCCACAGAGTCCAACATCCTCAAGGAGCTCATCAAACCTCCCACAATCCTCCGCACCATGGTCAACACTATCACAGGTACACATCATCATGTTCACCACAGTCCATATAGTACCTGTAGTGTTCACCTGGATGATATATGTGCCAATGAGTTAAGACAGCATGAACAGATGATGACCGTGTTGATCCGGGGGGGAAAATCATACAGCACATCACATTCTCTCTCATACAGTGACGGCCTGACATAAATATAGACTTAAAGTCTAAAATAATAAAATCATTATTCTAATATTTAAATGTTAACTGCCTGTTTTTAAGCCTATAGAAAGCCACTGCATTTATTTGGAATAACTTTGTGTATTTTCTCAAAATGCAGACAGAACAGGTTTCGCAGTGTACCTTTTTTATTTACAATATAGTTCATCTTATAATTCTACGATTCATTTATCAGATGTCAGGAAGTGCAAACGAACAGCTTTAAGTGACTGATCAGACACACAGGAACAGGACACACAGTGCTGACAGGAAGTGACCAGAGGCAGAGCACAGGTGCTAACAGGAAGTGACCAGAGGCAGAGCACAGGTGCTAACAGGAAGTGACCAGAGGCAGAGTACTTTTAAAAAATAATCAAAGTTTGCAAATATCGTCAAAGGGACTCTATAGATCGAATGGAGTTTGATAGTTTGTTCCACCACCAGGGGGCGACATAGAGGAAGGGTCTAGTGAGAGACTTGGGGTCCTGTTGTGACACAGGTGTGTGTGTACTAACGAGGTTTAATTCAATATCAGACAAGAAAACAGCGGAGGTGAAGAACTGTCTCTGTGAATAGAAACTGAGATGGCACTCAGTCACCCTTAATGTACCGCACTGTGATAAGTAGAGTCATGATTTCACTTCAATACACTCGCAGTACAACATCAGTGTTGCATCATGGATGTGAGTGACTGAAGGGTTTGCTGTGTAGGTGATGTCTAGGTGTAAACGTGCTTATTGTTTGTGTCCGTCTTTCAGGCAGCACCAATGTCGGTGAACAGCTCCCCACAGGCCAGCTGTCAGTGGTGCCATGGCGACGCACCGGAGTCAAATACACCAACAACGAAGCTTACTTTGACGTGGTGGAGGAGATTGACGCCATCATCGATAAATCAGGTCTGTCAAGTTCCACGCTGTCCCATGGCTTCGTTATTGAGCAATACAAAAATATCAAACAAGCACGCACATCCGAAAAGTTGAGAACTGGGTGCTGGACAAAAAACATCCAAAGGTCTGAACCTGCTCTCGTTCAATTTGAACTGGAAGAATCACCACATGAAACGTTGACATCAGACATGAACCAGTTCATTATTGAGCCCCCTCTGTTAGTCTGTGTTCATGTTCCACTCCAGGAAAAATAATTTAAGTAGATCCTGTTACCTTTAATAAGCCAAGTCAAGTCAAGTCTTCTTTATTTATATAGCACATTTATAACAGCCGAGGCGGACCAAATAAGTCTTACCTTAACTACATGGAAACCGTATTTGATTGTGTTCATTAGCATGTCTGCATCGATGATTCCTGTTTCCTCTCATTAGACAACCTCACTCAACATCTATTCAAAGTCAGTTTAGCTCTTAATCTAAACGGTGTTGTCTTTCTCTCTGTTCTTCACGTCCACTCTTGTCTTCCTCGCCAGGCTCCACCATCACCGCAGAAATCCAGGGAGTTATTGACGCCTGTGTCAAACTGACAGGCATGCCCGACCTCACTCTCTCGTTCATGGTGAGTTTCCTTTTTTTTTTTTAAATCTTTTTTTTTTATGAGCTTTAAGTGTCATTTTATCAAAATTCATCCGCTCTTTTTATGTATTTATTTATATTTGTGTGTGTGACCTGCACGCCGCCCCACACTCAACTGACATTTTGTCTGTAAATTGAGGTAACCCCTTTAAGTCTATTTTAACCAAATACTAATTAGACTTTTAACAATCACGAGGGTAAAAAAAAAGCTGTTTAATCATCTTTTTAAAAAAAAAAAACCACAATGCCATTAGCGTTTCTTCCTTCTTTTTTTTTTAAAGATTTTTTTGGGGCTTTTTGTGCCTTTATTGTAGAGATAGGACAGTGGATCGAGTCAAAAATCAGGGAGAGAGAGTCGGGAACGACATGCAGGAAAGGAGCCACAGGCTGGATTCGAACCCATGCCGCCTGCTTGGAAGACAACAGCTTCCATACATGGGGCGCGCGCACTAACCACTGCACCACCAGCGCCCCAGTGTTTCTTCCTTTTGTATGAATCTCCAAATGCTTCTTACCGTTTCCTCTTGCGTCTCTCTGGTGCGGCTGTGGCTCAGACTTGTGTTGGGAACTGGAGGGTCGCTGGTTCAAGTCCTGGTGCCGAATTTGGTCGTGTAGCCAGAGAGGTGCTAGTTCACTTTCTGAGCTCTGCCGAGGTGCCCTTTGACAAGGCACCAAATCCCCCACCAGCTCAGGAGCACTCTCTGTATGCAGCCCCCCCCCCCCCCCCCACTCTGACATCTCTCCATTAAGCATGGCTCACACTGTCTGATTTTTCTCCGATTGTATAAAAGTCGTTGTGCAGCTCACACTGTACACGACCCGTTTGACGGGCACGGCCGGAGAGTTCACACTGTATGAGTGAAATCTGGACGGAGCGTTGACAATTGTTAATAAAGTTTCATTTGAAAACTCCAATGGACGGCGGTCGGTGAAAGAGCAGGAAGTGGAAGTTGATATATGCAGATATATGGATACTATGTTTCAGAAAAGTGCTGCACTGATGATCTGTACCGAAACCTGGGTCCTGCCGCTGGTCGCCATGACTACAGTCCTCCCTTGTCTCTCGTGATTATATTGTAGTCGTGCATGAGTTCCGCCAGATGCGTTCATGATCCTAGATCCTAAATATCAAACATGTCTGAAATAAACGTTTAGATTGGATCTTTGTAACGCTCACACTACAAGATAATCTGAACAGATAATCGGGTCCGAGCAGCCTTTGAGTTGACCCTGCGACTGTTGGGAAGGAAGAATCGGAGCTCCAATCAGCCCGATTATCCTGCAGAGTGAGCCAGGCTTTAGTGCATGACCATGGGTTCCTGTTTGTGTGTGTGTAGCATGTGTTAATAGCACACTGTTAAGGTGAATTTCCCCTCGCTGGATTTATAAAGTATGTCTTCCTCTTTCCCAGAATCCTCGGCTGCTGGATGATGTCAGCTTCCACCCGTGTGTTCGGTTCAAGCGCTGGGAAGCCGAGCGGATCCTCTCCTTCATCCCCCCTGACGGAAACTTCCGCTTGCTCTCCTACCACGTCAGCTCTCAGAAGTCAGTGTTTTAGCGTTACTGTCTCTTTAAGAAGAACAAGTGAACCTTTTGTATCAATGTTGGCTCATGTGACTGTTACTCCTTCCTCAGCCTGGTAGCAATCCCGGTCTACGTCAAACACAACATCACCTTCCGGGAGGGGAGCTCTCAGGGCCGCTTTGACTTGACCCTGGGACCCAAACAGACCATGGGCAAGGCGGTGGAGTCTGTGCTAGTCAGCAGCCAGCTGCCCCGGGGGGTCCTCAATGCTAACCTCAACCCCTCCCAGGGAACGTACACCTTCGACCCGGTTACAAAGGTACGCTAATGAAAGAATGGATGCCTGTCTGAGATCTTCACAATGACCACGTACATATCATCTCTCATTGCCGTCTTGATGTTTACATTTTCTTTTTTTTGGCCAGATGTTGTCGTGGGATGTCGGAAAGATCAACCCACAGAAGCTCCCCAGTCTGAAAGGAACGATGAGCCTGCAGGCCGGAGCCTCCAAACCCGACGAGAACCCCACCATCAACATCCAGCTCAAGATCCAACAGATGGCCATCTCAGGTACACACACACACACACACACACACACACACACACAGATACCATTATCACCACTTACAGCGTGTCCCTGCAGTGTGTGAGCGTTAAATATCCCATCGCATCGTGCACGATCAGTGGCTTGCTGTCCACACTACATATTTACTCCTCTGCTCTTTCAGTTTCTCCTGCAGACATCATCCCATGTGGTGCTTTTATTTTGAAGGTGGTCAAACTGAAGTGTGGTGCTCTATAATGATGAGCTGTTGAGTCGAATCACAACACTCAGAGGCTTGTCAATAAACGGCTCAGTCATGGATATTATTGGATATTATTGGATATTATTAATGCTCTGTAATCTGCACTAACAAGCTCTGCTGAGGGAGAAGAGTGAACTATATCAAAGACAGTTTTCCCGTCGGACACAGCTCCTTTCTCATTCCTCGTCCATCTAAACTCGAGCAACAGGAATGAAAATAGAAACAGTGCGTCGGTGTAAAGGAGCCGCTTCGCCGAGCTATGCGATACAGCGAGCTGTTGGGAAACTCAAACAGGAAACTGTGGATCAAGCTGATGTTGTAGCTGACGCTTTGTCGCGTTGTTATGACAGGCTTTCCTCATGCAGTCATGATCGCTTTCCTTCCAGGATTTTCACCGTTTCTTTTAGAAAATAGTTCTTCATGGTTGAGTCACTTTGCCTGCCATCACACACAACTCTTACTGCAAGTTGAAATCACTTTGTTCCCTGTTTTATTTGGATTCATTAACATTATTTATATAGAAGGAATAATTATAACCCAACCCTCAACATGTGAGAGCAGCCTTCATCCCACAGGCTGCTCAGCTGATCATCACCTGACTGTAACTGATCTGAGAGCACGTCACACATCGGCCACTAGATGGTGCCAAATGCAATAAATACATACACCTCAGGAGCTGATTGACGAGAGTCACTACTAAAACCAGTTCTTCAAACAATATGTGCTTTAATGATAATCTGAAGGTTTGGATTATATACAAACATCACTCAATAAAATCCACATTGTCATCACTTCACATGAATCAGTGTCTTAAGAGTCGAGTGTGTCTGTGTTCTTTAAAAAAGATGATGTAATGAAGCGTACATGTGGTCCGTCCCAGTTTGTGCTCTTCATCTTCTTATCCTCTCATCCATTCTGCAAAATGATGCTCCTGCTGATTAACTTGAGTATCCAGGTTTATTGTTTGTGCATGTAAACATCACATCCTGATTTCAGAGGGCAGGATATCATGGCATTAATACGCCTTACCCCGGTTACTGACGACTACCTGTGCAGGCACGGCCTCAACTAAGTGACGCATCAGTAAAACAAAGATGGCGAGACTGGAATGGAGAAACTATGTTTTTGTCTTCAGTGATGAAAGACTTTAATATAACTTGGAGTTTAGACGAGAGAAAGCATCAAAATGCTGACCTGTTCAAGTCTGTGGTGAAAAGGCTGCAGGACGCCGGTCTTCCAACACGGTACGGTTGCCGCGGTTTGTGTTTTAAAGAAACAGCATCACAGGCGCCTGCACAAATAATGCACACTAATCAGAAAGCAGGATGCTAGTGTTTATCATGTAAAATATCCAGGTTTCTCTGTGTGCATGTAAACACCAAATCCTGACTATGATCCAAACCAGAATATGACTCATAACAGACAATCAAGTCCATGTAAACACTCACTGTCATTTAGGGTGGTTTCACATTAGGGAGCCAGGCTCTAGGATCTGAGTACACAAAGTCCGGGTCATTTAATTTCATTAATTTATTTAATTAGGACAGTGCACATTAATCAACATATCAACAAAATAGTCCATATAAATATGGACTATAAATCTATATAAACTTGGACGATAAATCCATATAAATATGGACTATAAATCTATATAAACTTGGACTATAAATCCATATAAATATGCCGTTATTAGCGCAAAAGCTAAATTTAATCCGTAGTCCTGAGGCAGGTACTAACAAAAAAACAAAAAAACATAAAACAAATGTACAATTACAGAACGACACACTCAAAAAGCTCACAGACAATTTTGCAAACAAATGAGACACAGTCACAAACAAATTGGACACAGTGAATGTAAATGTAAATTCTGGTTGGCGTTTTTTGTTTTGGATTTTGAAAATTTAAAAAAATCAGAGAATCGAAAAAGACAAAGTACTTTGAGTTTTCTGTTGTATCTTTCATCACAAGAATTACACGGATTTACACAAGTAATGCCTACCCTACCCTAACCCTCATGTGAGGTACTGTGCCCAAGTCCTCCTGAAGAGTACCCTTGTGTATGTCCAAACTCGTGCCTAATGAGAAAACACCCTCAGAGACATGAAGAATAAGTCAGAATTTCTAATGAATAGTAAAGTTTGTGAAAAGGGAATCTTGATCCAGGTCTGAGCATGAGCATTATATTTACAGATGTAGCAGGTTGAACAAACTGAGCATGAACATTTGTGCTCCTTGTTACCGTCGTTATTTAGAGAAGAAACAAACATATAAATACTTATTTATAGATTTTTCAGAAGACATAAAACATTCAAAGGAGAACAGTACCCACCTCCCCCCATCCCACTCTACAAACAAACAGATGATTTATGTACATGCAAAATAAACAAACAGAATCTTTAAGTGATTTTTAAAGAGGTCATATTCTGCCCTTTTTGGGGTTCATATATTTAATCCATGTACCTACTAAAGTATGTTCACAATAACTAAAGTTCTAAAAAAGTGTCTGTTTTCATGTCCTGCCGCTCCATGCACCGGCTCGCTTCTGACTCTCTCCCTAAGGCTCTGAAGTGCCCACGTTCAGAGTCCCCACGTGGGCCAAGTCTGATCTGATTGGTCAGCCTGACGGCTCTGCCGTAATTGGTCAGTCGCTCAGCACGGTTCTCGGAAATGTCCCGCCTCTTTTACCATATTGGGAATGCAGCCACAGGCTCCGTCCGAGGGGAGCATAAACATTAGCACCTTAGCACTACTGTGCTACCGCAGGCTACAGCATATCGTGGGCGTGCTACAGAAGTTAACGGGCGTGCAACATGAGCTGCTGGGCTTACCACAACGAGCCAATGGGCTTAGATCAGTGATCTCACACTGACAATGACGTCGGACTGACACATTTTTATCGAGGGGGGCTAGAACCGAGCGTTACATGTGGCTAATGCTACAGCTAACAGGAGGACGTAGGAGAAGCCACGTTTCCGCGGACTTTGAATTTTTGCAAATAGATGTACCTAAACATGCACAGGATACTTGGAAAACACACTGAAGAGCATATAAAACCAGAAAAAGCATAATATGGGACCTTTAAGGGATGTGGTGTCTTTTCCATCTGTTATTGTTTGTTCCTGTCCTTGACCAGCTGTTAAACACACACTAGAGTGTTCTGACTCTATTCTTCTTCTTGTCGTCCAACAGGGCTGAAAGTGAACCGGCTGGACATGTACGGTGAGAAGTACAAACCTTTCAAAGGCATCAAGTACATGACCAAGGCCGGCAAGTTCCAGGTGCGGACATAAAGGGGCCGGCGCTCAGTGCCCACCGGACCAAACCACCATGAGACTGAGGACTGACGTGAGGGGGGGGGGGCGGGGCGGGGGCGTGGAGTTGGTACATTCCCTGTGTTTATGCATTTCAGGATTAACTGAAAATATTGAAGGCTCCTTGTAGCAGTTAAGAACGGACCATTGCACATCAAAAAGAAAAGCATCATATGTCTCATAGACAGGTTAGATCTCTGGACCCATCTCGAGGTCAGACCCTGATCCATCTGTTTCATTTTAACAGATTTTATTTTTTTTCATTAATCATTTTCCTCCTGACCCCGCTGATGTCACGCTGTCCCGCCTGAAGGTCTGTCAGTTTGTGTCCATTCAGCCTCCATTAAGGTCATCACATTCAAAGTGATTCTACAATGTCGTAAAGTTGGCATCCCAGTCTGTGAGTCCGCAGTGCCTTTACTTACGGCGTTGCTGAAGCACGGCGAGCAGAGACACAGCTGAAGCTCCACACACACACACACACACACACACACACACACACACACACACACACACACACACACACACACACACACACACACACACACACACACACACACAGCGCTGTTCTCCCCCTGCTCTGTAACGCCTCTGTTACTACCTGCAACGACGGTACAGAGGGGGGATCATCTGCTTTTTTTACTCCTTTGAAGCAGGGGTTCCCCAACTTTTCAGCTCGTGACCCTGAAAATTACGGTACCAGAGTGCAGGTACCCCCCCCGTCCCTGGAGGTAGTTGAGGTATACAACGTAGCTCACACACTGATAGGCTGATCTAAACACTGGTAAACAAAGACGACCACCTACACAGCTGCCAACATGTACACATTTCAATCATTTTAACACACTAATCTAATTTCACTAAAATAAGGAATGTGCAACATTTAATACAGCAGAGATCCAGTGTCTCCTGTGTAAATGTGTCTCTGAGTCATGACTGTCTACAATGAGTGAGAAGCTCGAGTCCCACTGGCTGTGTTGTTGTCAGAGCCATGTTTACATGGATGGGACGGCCGGCTCCTCCCCTTGTGTATAAAAGCTGTTTTAGTCAAGAACTAGAGAGAAGAAGAAGAACATACTCACTGATTATTTGAGTAAGAGTTTTTAGATCATGCTCATTCTGTGTCAGTTTACATGAAATGTGAAGCTACGAGCTAACTAAAGAGCGCTAACATGAGCATGCTAACACAACAAATGAATCACACAGGTGATTGCAGGTAGAGAGAAAACTTATTCATGTGAACCTGAGTGTAGAGGGGTTGGAGGTGTGTCTCTGGAAGAGGGCGGAGGCTTCAGTATGGAGGAGGTGTGGTCAAACAGCAGTTTGTTTTGGTTTCATGCTGGTGCTCAAGGGCGACATCTACTGGATCAAAAAGTCACACATTCCTTCTTTAATGATATGTTTTTTTTAAACTGAACTACTTTCTTCTACCAATTTTCTGAATAACGGGTAAAATATACGATTTTAAACTATTTTAAATTAAGTTTCTTTGCAAGGCATCTCGGGGGACCCCCCCTCCTTGTGGCTCACCACCCCCCCACTGGGTCTCGACCCCCCACTTTGGGACCCTCTGCTTTATTATTGATATGTTTTCTGTTCTTTTGTTCTTGTTTTTTTTGTTTCCTTCATTACTTGATGAAGTTGTCTGCAGCACTGGAGTCAGCCCACTGACATACGAGTGTGACATGTGAGCCATCCTCGATTTTGCACTTTGACATCAGCTGGTACTAAAATGTAATCAATCATTTCATAACGTTTAACGACATTTCCATTTGACTGATGTAAGGTGGCTGAAGCTGTTTGTTAATATGAAGATGTCTGGAGGACGTTCAGGTCCACGATCGTCTGATTTATTCATATTTATTCAACAAATGAATCAATCAGAGAAAGTTTTGTGTTTGTGTAAAATGTTTCCCATGTGTGTTTCCTTTTATTGTCATCTCATGAGCTTTAACTTTACAGAAGCTTTTTGTTTTGATCACTTCATGACCAAACATGACGAGCGAGTTCCTCGTCCGTTTCTCTTCTTTTTTTTTTTTTTTTTTCTTTTACTCCTCTCAACCGGGATCTGAACGCTGTCATCCAAACGATTGATACAGTTCACGTCTGCGTCACAATCTTTGCAGAGAGAGAGAAACTATACGATGTGCATTCTGGTATGTGTTGAACATGTCGTATTTAAAGGACACGGTGTTACGGCTGGGTACCTCAGAGGAAAACGCTGAAGGTTTGCATTATGTGTGTTTGTTTATCAGCCTCCAATGGAGTCTTATAATGGTGTAAAAAAACAATAAAGCTTGAATGTGTTATAACAGAGTGCTGAGACTCGTGTTTGAGTGTGACTCAATGAATCTGCATTACAACCTGAGCTCCTGTGAGTAGTTTTTAGCCAGTCTTAAATTAATTACTCTTTATGAGATAGAGATGCAAACGAGACCATCAGGAGGTCTACAGCATTATTTTTAATCTCTGTCACTCTTTTTCCTGCTCCACTTTTCAGAAAATGTGTGCTCAAACAGGCTGATTGGAGATTTTTCCCTTCATGACATCACAAAGGGCAGTAGCCCCTCCCCCAGGTGGGTGACACTCCCACAGTTAGGTGTTTGTTCTGCCCTCTGAGTCTGCCTTCTCACCATAAACAATAGGATATGGAGTGAGAAAGCCTAAACCACCCAAGCCCTTCCAGAGAGGGGGCATGGTCAGTCAGACACAGCTCATTTACATATTTAAAGGTACAGACACAGAAACAGCCTGTTCTGAGCAGGGCTGAAATAGAGGGGTTTATAGACATGATCAAATACAGGATCAGAGTGGATTTAGAACAAGAAACTTCACACACATGTTTTGAGGAGCTCTGAGACTTATTTAAACTTGATGGAAAGGAGGAGAATATGTGACCTTTAAATATAATATCCTCTTTTATCCGTTTGGCCTTCGTGATTTTTCCTTTGAATAAACAATCTTCTACTTTTAGTTTTCATAAACTCCCTCTGTCCTCCATAGAATTTCAATACCTCAGATTTAGTCCAACGATCTTTGACAATTAATTTTGCAGCACCTATCATTGTCTTGTCTCCTAACATGGCAGTTTGAGAAGTAAAGCTTTGTTCCAATAATAGTTTGAGGATATTTCCACATTCATGACATGTCCTGATGCAAAATTAAACCTTTGTTGTGTGCCTTTATTTAGAGACAGGACGATGGACAGAGTCAGAAATCAGGTACAGGTAAGAGAGTGGAATGACATGCGGGAAAGGATCCACAGGTCGGATTTGAACCCAGGACCGCCTGCTAAATTAATTCTAGGGGGAGATTTAAAAGTTATAATATTCTCTACTGGTCTGTACGCCTCCTCGTCCTGTAGAGTTTGATCATTTATGTTTAAACTGTTTTGATAAATGGAGACGAGAAAATCCTGACTAGAGTCCCTGTAGGTGGAGTTCCACAGATGTAAGTGGTCATGGAGAGATTTTGGGTTAATATCAAGAGAATGAGTAAACAGCAAACGTGGTGTTAACATTGAGCGCTCTGTCCACTAACTTATTAACATCTGTCTAAGTCTGGACAACACACAAAGCGAGGAGAGACACACAACACAACTCACAGGAAACCAAGTGAAGGGCCTTGTAGTAGACAAACACAGGGGCCACTTTTAACCCCTACACTCCCCCCCACCCTTTTTTTAGCTCCAGATGCAGGACTCCACTCCATAATTTACTGATGACTTTAACCCTTCCCAAACACACAACCTCTCTCTCTCTCTCTCTCTCTCTCTCTCTCTCTCTCTCTCTCTCTCCTCCTGCACCATCGACCGGACAGCAGATGTGACTCAGTTATGTCATCAGAGGATTCAACTTTTTCCCAACCTCTCTCCCTTTTGGTGCATCTTAGAAAAGTTAGATAGGCCTATTTTTTTTATTTCTAACTTTAGGTCATTTAAAAAAATATATTTTTTGATCTTGATGCGCTTTTCTGTGACTTCTTGTTTCTTTAAAACTTTGCCGACATCTCGACAGGCTGGCCGTGCAGAGGGATCTCGAGGCATTTAAAGACCCCATTCATCGCGGTTGGTATGTTGTAACGCATGTTTTTGTCTCCTGCAGTCTACTACCTCTTTAACTTTATGTGTGTCTGCTTCAATGAAACTTGAATTCGTAATGTGCCATGGTCTAAAGAGTAGGCGGTTCATTTAGTGCTTTTACAAAAAAACAGACATTTATTAGAAGCCATCTAGGGTTATCAACCATCGCAACAGAATCTGAGACTGTCGCGTGGATGCAAATGTGTGTTCTCACGCGGGGTTTTAGGTGCTGTTTCTGTCACCCAAAAGTAATTATCCCCTCGTCCTCACTCACACCTCTAATGTGTTTATTCACATGGAGATAATGAGCGCTATCTCCCTGTGAATCTCTTTACTGTCTATCTGATCGTGGGCTGGCCCGGGTCCCTCCAGGTGTGTTCGTATTTACCTGTCAGAGCGCACGTGGGCTTTTTTTTTACAGTAACAGTAGGCTAATATACAACAGGAGCGCGCGCCAACTGAAAAAAAGCGCGACTTCAGTGTTGATTCAACCACGTGCGGAGCTGACAGAGCGCGTGCTAGCTGCTGAGTCACTTTTTTGTATTAAACTGCGCCAGTTCATCTTCCACCTGATGCCGTACCTTCACAGTCAGTGCTTCAAACTACAGGCTACACCATGGAGTCACAGTGGGAAGGTTGGGTTGGCTCAAAACTAGGGGCGATCGAGCCTTTTCACAGATTACCATTTAAAATAAGATCTGCTGCCACAACTCAACAGTTTAAGTCATTTTTAAATGTTTTATCCCAACAGCAGTGTCTCCTAGAACTTTTACTATTGTTTTGTGTTTTAATTTACCTTTAATTTTTGCTTTTACGTGCCTTTATGACGTTTTGGATGTAATGTATTTTGCCTAATTTACTGTACAGCACTTTTGTCTGCCTCGGCTGTTATAAATGTGCTATATAAATAAAGTTGACTTGACTTGACTTGAATAGGTAAAGCAAACACTCTGCAGAAGAAAATATGAATTTCATGGGGCAATAGTGGGGTTTTACCAACTGGTGAATAATGGTACTTAACCTGGCTAAATAAAGGTTTAAAAAGAAGAAGACAGAGTGCGTTACCTTCCTTTTAACCTGTCTTATGAAATAGATGTGCATAGGCTATTAACTTACAATTTAAACGACCAGGAAAATAAAACATACTACATGAACATGTAAAGAAAACCAGCAGTATTTTAACATGTATGCTTCTGACAGAACAAATAACCAATCACAGTTTAGGATTTTGGTGGTGGCCAATCAGTGGCTACTCTACTCACATTTTTTAAATAATTTTAGTTAAACTAATTCAACCATTTTATTTGCGTCCCATCACCAGTTGGAGTTGTGAAGACCGCCATCAAGCAAAACAACGTTAAAAAACAACTAGTTGTAGGCTACTACATTTAGCTAATTTTCCCAGCATTCAAAGCTCTTTTATTTTTTTATAAATAATTTCACCCAATCTGCACA